GGCACTTCGCGCTGACCATCGCAACCTCCGAAAACTGACAAGTTTAGCGGCACTCAGTGGACACTGGCGACCTGTCGCGGCCACTATCGCGTGCGACTAGCGACCAGCGGCCACTTGGCGGCCACTTAGCGGCCAATAGCGGCCATCTAGCCGTTATTTAGTGGCTGTAGCGGCCTATAGCGGCCATTTAGCGGCACTTGCGATAGGTTCGTGCGGCGTCGGCGCGCGCAAAGGTGTTTGCCACCGCGTCGATCCTTCAACCATGAGTCGACCGCGGCCCCGATCGTTCAAAATTGAATTCAGTCGGGTCGAATGGCATTGCCGCGTCCGTCGGCGCTCCCGCGTCTTGAACGCCTTCGCCGGTGCCGCCAACGCGCCAACGCCTCGTGAACCTACAGTCGGCGCGTTGACCTAAGGAACCCTAAATGAGGAACGAGGCCCCTTTTTCCCATAAGTTCAACCTCGATTTCCCATGGAAAACCTCGGGAAAACCCGAGGTAAACTTTGAAACAATCAAGGAACACCGAGCCCCTCCCCAACGAAAAGGGTTCCTTCTTCAGGGCCCCGAATGTACCGTAGTGGCCATGTAGCAACACTTAAGTGGCCGCTAGCGGCCACTGGCGGCCTGCAGTGGCCACTGGCGGCCGCTGGCGGCCTGGCGCTTGGGCGAGGCCACCGACCCCCTCGGAGCCCACAGGCGCGCGTGCCGCCAGGTGCCGCCATCCTGGCACGAAAACCAGGTCGAACACCGTTCTACAGTTCCCCAGGTTGGCCACACAAGCAGCGCGAGCAGTTCCAGACGTAGCAGGACGTGCACGGCGAGACGCCCAAGGTGACGAAGACACGCGGCAAGAGGAACAGAAGACTGGAGGCACGGACGCGGCCGACAAGGTCGAGGGCAGCAGGCTGCGTCTTGGGGCCGTCGACCTCCCAGAGCTGCCCATGTCCCGCTCTTCCGGGAAGGCTGAGGAGCTGGGGGAGTTGCCCAAGAAGTCCGCCGAGAAAGACGAGGTGGAGAAGAGCGGGATGGGCTAGACGAGAGCCCAGGCCCCTGCCCGTCTCAGCGAGAATGATAGCGACGGCGGCAAGGGTGGGGAAGGGCGAGGGTCGCCCGAGAACGGCGGGCAAACCCTGGGCAGGGAGCAGGGGGGGTGCCTAGCACACGCTTGCCTGCGAGCCCAGCGCGGGCGTGGGCCTCGAGGACAGCGCCGGTGTGGAGGGGCGGGGGCCGATGGCTATGCAGGGCTCTGTGCAGAACACGGCTGAGGCGGATGCCGAGGTTCAGCCTGGGGGGATGTCCACTGAGGAGTACACAGCCCGGGAAAAGGATGGGAAGATGGCCTTGATCATCCGCCAGCGTGTGGGTCATTCTATCTATATATATATGTATATATATATATATATATACATATATATGTATTTATATACATATATATATATATATATATGTGTGTGTGTCGACGGCTGAGTGCACAATTGGGAGTGGACTGGGGGTGGACGTTGTGGAACCTGTGTGGGTGGAGAGGCACGTCGATCCCTGGGTGGCATTCCATCGCTAGGTGTAGCACGGCCCTCGGCTAGAGCAATATTACCCAATCGTCTATGGAGGCATGCACCGTAACGGCGTGGCCGACCAGAACGTAATGTGGACTTCAGTGTCAGGTACGGCGTGTATCTGCTTCGTCGCTAGTGCGTTTGCTTCTGCGGGCCCTCGAAATTCGCTCAAAGCTCCAAAACAGCCCTCGTTCCCTCCTCCCGACTCCTCCTCCCTCCTGCGCGTCATCCGCCCTCCGCTCCCTCCTCATTCTCCTCCGCATTATCCTCCTCCTCCTCCTCCTCCTCCTCCTCCTCCTCCTCCTCCTCCTCCTACTCCTCGTCCTCCTCCTCTTCCTCCTCCTCCCCCTGCCCAGGCTCAGCTTGCTAGGTCTTCGCAGCCTGGTGGCTTCTTGGGACCCTTTCACGGATGCTCGGAGAAGCGGCTCGGGATGCAGAGCTGGCCCCTGGGGACACCCCGGGGGTCTGGGACCCGCTCCATCTCGGGACCCCTCCTCCTCCTCCTCCTCCTCCTCCTCCTCTTCCTCCTCCTCTTCCTCCTTGTCCTCGTCTCTCCTCCTCCGCCTCGTCTCTCCTCCTCCTCCTCCTCCA